AGGAGATACTGAAATGATACATTTTGTTACTCTTGCAATCTCCAGGAAAGAAAACACTTAACACTTAAAACACTCAGACTCACTTTTTTTTCCTGATTCCAGGATGTCATCTTTACTTAAAACACAAACGTGTAATAGCATGCAATGCCAGCTGCTCCCACATTTTAAACACAGCATTAGCACACCTCATGCAAGTAAACTGAGTTTTTGTACTTCAATTTCTGCATTTTATAATAATTAGTACTGCCTTTAGATTACTAAGAACAATTATGCCTGTCTTCACAGCAACATGATCCCGTTTTGTGGTCTCAACTTTACGAGAATCCCTGTCAAAAAGCAAGCTAACGTATTTGACTGCACGTGAACTGGCCATCTTTTAACCTAGGCTTCCAACAGCACTGAAGACAGGGCCCAAGGTTATGCTTGTAACATTCCTCAATTCTTCAAACTCAAAGCACATTATAGTTACTGACAAAAGCTTTTTGTTTTCAAAACATCAGCCACATACAAAAGACAAACAAGAAAACATAAAAGGATATTAAACTCCCTGAAAATAACAATGCTTGACAAGAAAAATAAGTTTGGAACAGCACAGCACCTACTGTTACATTGTTTTGTGCTCTTGCTTCTGCACAGATCTATCCGGGGCAATTATTCTTCATTTAAGATGTTTTCTCATGCTCCCAAAAGTTGGCTTTAACAAGTTGCTACTGTACATTTAATAACATTTAGACAGAGAAAAGCAAATTATCTGTATTTTACAGTGAGCTGCAAGCGACTCAGTATGATTCATTATACCACGTATTGTTTTAAGAGATCACAAAATCACAGAATGGTTGAGGTTGGAAGGGAGATCTGATGATCTCTCTGGAGATCATCCAGTCCAACCGTCCTGCTCAAGCAGGGTCCTCTAGAGCGTATTTCCCAGGATTGCCTCCAGGCAGGTTTTGAATATCTCCAGGGAAGGAGACACCACTACCTCTCTGGGCAACCTGTGCCAGCGCTCTGTCACCCTCCCAGGAAAGTGAGGAAAGTTTTTCCTCATGCTCAGATGGAACGTCCTGTGTTTCAGTTTGCGCCCGTTGCCTCTTGTCCTGTCCCCGGGCACCACGGAGAAGAGACTGGCCTCATCCTCTTGACACTCCCCCTTCAGATACTTGCACACATTGATCACATCCCCCTCTCAGTCTTCTCTTCTCCAGGCTAAACAGGCCCAGCTCTCTCAGCCTTTCTTCAAGGAGAGATGCTCCAGTCCCCTCATCATCGTTTGTAGCCCTACAAATGTAAAGCCCTACAGATGCTTCACATCAGCCCTGTGTTATTCCAGTGCTAAATGCAGTGCTAAACCCAATAATTACACAAAAGCACATTATAGCAGTACTTTACTGACTAGCATAATGCAGTTGGAATAACAATACAGTATCTTGCTTTCAGTGGCCAGGAGTTTGGCCTGTACAGCCTATCGGTATTGAATGAGGGTCTGTGTAAGCACTGATCTTTAGTGTATGTGCATGGGTACAACTTTATTTCCCACAAGCAAGGTCTGACTTTAAAAGACTTATTTTTTTCTCCTCTAAAATGATTCATAAAATAAAGTGTGCATTTCCAGTAAAATCTCTTCCACATTAAATATCTCAGGTGTTAGGAATTTAAAACTTAACAGCACCTAATAAGCTCAACTGGTTTTGTCTAGCGTTTAACCTCTTATCTAATATACAATTGTCTTTCACAGGAAGTACTGATTTAGGAGCCAAAACAAGTCGCAACAAGGGAAATTCTGGCTAGATATGGGGGCGAGGGGAGAAGGTTCACAGAGAGGGTGGTCAGACCTAGCACGCCCAGGGAAAAATCTCCATCCTTAGAGATACTCAAAACTCAGCCAGACAGGGCCCTGAGCAACCTGATCTAACTTCGAAATTGGATTTAACTTTGAGGTTGGCCCAGCTTTAAGCAGGGATTTGACCAGACGTCCTCCTAAATTATTCCTTAATTCTGTGACAACGCAGGTGACTTCCATAGGCACACAGGAAGTATAATGACACCAGATGTCTTAATCTCTGCTTGCTGCTTTTTCGTGATGTATAAAAAGAAAACAGAGTATAACCGGATGAAGACACATAAGATCACTGTACATGAGGTATGATGGACTGCACACTTACAAAAGGAAGGCACTCATCATTTTGTTCAGTCTAACTGTGAGTCTGACCTTCATCGATAATAAATTGTTTATATCCCCTCCCCACCCCCCAGCCCTTTTAGACATATAGTATGACTTGGATGCAACAAGTGGCAAAGAAGCCATCCTGGAAACCTATGCTTGCAGAACATGATGCCACACAGCTCTGAAATGCTTTCAGTTACCAAAAGTAGCAGATGGTTTCAGGGAAGAGACCCAAGAACCAAAGGCAGACCAAGGCAAAGACGGAGCCACAGGACAAAGTCAAATGGTTGGCTCACAGCTGGACTGGAGATTTCTGTCCTTGCTCCCAAGACAGCTTGTGCATTTTTCAGTAGAGCACCAGGCACAGTAAACACAATCCTTGTGCAGATTTTGAATGGGACATAGCAGACCAAGAAGCCACATTAAGTTGAGAAAACACCTACAAGAAACAGTAGCTCCCCCTAAGTTTTGAATTCAGAGGGAACCATCATCTCCTGCAGAGGCAAGAACCTGCTGTGGCACCTTGCTTCTCTGAGAGGCTGCATCAACCAGGTTGTGGCACGTTCCTACCAGCTGACTTCACCTCTACTTTGGAAAAGAAAAATACATCTAGCACCTCACTGATGGAAAGTTGTCAACTACCTCAACAACTATCACAATCAGGTCTCTTTCCCATCTCAGATGAGTGCTATAACCACTAGTCCTCTCCAGTCCCACTCTCCCAGCGTCAGCCCTGCTCTTCCTCATTCTCCTTCCGGCCTTTTGCCAGATTTTGACATCTTGCATCCCTGGATACATCACAGCCCAACTTAAGAATTGTAATGGAGCACAGTTCCTCCCATGACACTGAAATCCTTGGCAGATAAGAGCCATCTGTAAAGCTCTGGGAGCCGCAGGTTCAAATCCAGTCAGGCCAAAGAGGGCCTAGACCAAGACCTTCCGCTTCCTGAACCCAGGGTGCTAGGCACTGGGTCGCTGTGCCATAAGTGGGCGTCTGCATTACTGCCATCAGTTCAAGTCAGAAAAAGCTTTTGGGAATGAACTTGCAAGTACACCCTGAGGTAGGAGATTTAAAACTGTTCCTGAAGGCTGTCAAAGATTCCCACCTAAGCGTGTTTCCTTGTTCATCCTAACCTGGCATTTATCTGTCTCCGCATGCAACTAGGGAACCCCAGCTATGGTAAAGAGCAGCACCTAACTCATTATTGGTGCTCGGGACCCAAAGTTCAATTAACAAATAAAATTAAACCAAAAAAGTAGCATTCAAGGCACCATTCAAAAATGAACAGAAAGGAAGGAAAGTAGTTATACATCTTCTCCATTAAAGTTCTGAACCCACTTCAAAAAACCAACTCAGCATTCCCTGAAGTGATTGTGTTATTCACAGTGCTGGTGACAGAAGAATCCAGAGCAAGACACTTTCCCTGAATCAGTACTAATTTAGGACTTTTTCTGAAGAACTTCCCAAAGACCAAGTATTAAGTGCAACTCAAATGTTGCATCAGCAGTATGAGAGAAAACCTGAATGTTCTCTTGTAAGCAAATTCAAAACTAAGAGAAAATTCAAATCACAGCAACAGTTTTCACAAAAACTGCTTGAGACCTTTTATTCCTCCATGTCAGAAACATAAGTGTAAATTACTATTAAAAATATTAAAGATAATCTAATTCAAAATTTTAAACAAACCTCAAAAGAGAAGAATAACTCCTCTCTGGGATGTTCTGCTGACTTAAAAAAAAAAGAAAAAAAAAGAGAAAAAAGAAAAAAAAAGAAAAAACCACCTGTATAAATTAGAACACATGAGCAGCAATTTCTCATGAATGTTAATATAATTTAATAAAACCAAACTAAATCCAACAAACACGAAGGGAGAAAAACATGAAGGGATATACTGCTTTTCTGGATTATCTGGAAGAAATGAAAGTTAAGATAAATAGGAATTTTATTTTGTCCTGGTTACACACACACATAAAAGTAGTAACATTTTCAGAGTTCTACCACCAACATCCCCCCGGCCCGTTGGTATGATTTAGGCCCTGAAGCACTTCTATTCTTTTTGTAAATAAAGATGAAGTAATTCCGAAAAGGTTACCACGTGTAGCTACTTTTTCATTTAGAGGAACCATATGCTGTGCATTTAACTGTAGCTGTTCTCAAAATTTTAGTGCCGTATCACTCCTCCCACTACCTCAAGTCTATTGTCTGAGCCCCTCTCTCACCACAGCTGGCTCTGTTATGACTGGAAGCTCACTGAAGCAAGAAGCATCGCTAATATTTGTTTGGATGGTACCTAGAACACATTTTCAGGCTGTAAGAAACATATTGTAATTACTGCATTGCCAATCTGAGGGGAAAAAAACAAATCCATCAGTTAACAAGAAATAGCTTAACTCGATGATAGCTATTAATAGCTGATGGATTCAAATGCTTTCTGTAGGTGGCTCTTTAACATAAAAAATAAGAAGTGCAAGACCTTCAAATAACTACAGGATCTTCTTTCCTAAGGAAACATATTAATATTAAAACATTTGACATCTGTTCTTAGAAAATTTTAAAGTGCCTGAACCCAGCTAATTAGCTGGCACAACTATCGTGAAAACAACTGACAGTCAATCCAACAATACATTGGAAAGATGAAAAAACCCAGTACATCACTGACAACATACTGAAAATTCAATACCTCTTTATTGTCCCCGGAAGATCCAAACTGAACGGGATTTGATAGGACGATGCTAAAGTGTCATCCACAGCCTTGCTTATTTCCTGTAGCTCTCTCAAAGAAACACAGTCAACCAAAGCAGTCAGTTCACAGTCATGTGCCTGAATAAGCCTGTCTTGCTCTTCAATTTCTCTTCTTAACTGTTGATCTTTTGCTTCTAATGTGGCCAGCCTTGCTCGGAGGTCTTCGATTTCGTTCTGCACAGAACGGAAATCCAAGTTTATTGATTAACCCCATCAAAGAAAAAGCTTTCTCCCTAGAAAAATAAACTACAAGTCTCAAAAGTAGCATGAATTAAGGTTGTCCAACACATTTCAGTAGTATTGGTTTTGGCAGCTTATAATTCTAGCAAACTTTAACAGAAATTGTTAATACTTGATAGGAGTTTGCTGAATTTTCTCAGAAAACGGAGGCAAAAAAATGGCTCTTTTTCAGTGCAGTTTGGCTCTTTTTAGCACAATGTTAAAGGAAAAGTCATTCTTGTGCTGACATTCAAAAATTCTTACATCCATTGTATTTAGAAACTCTAGCACTTCACAGCTCGAGTCTCCCCACTTACACTTCAACAGCAAATTTCAAGCTTCTGCTCCAACATCAACTGCCACAGGCATGCTTTGCCTTTAAAAATAAGCCACTATTTCCTAAGAAACAAACTTTTAAAAAATCTGAATCTCAGTTGATACATAATAGAAGCTCGTCACAGATTGGCAGCTAAAGTGATCCTTAAGTGAAGCCTACCAGTCCCGTTGCAAAAATATCCCTGCCATAGTTCCTCTAGGCTTCCAGTCCAACATCAGGCACAGGATGCAAACGGTGAATAACTGACTGTCTTTCCAGTCTTTTTTACATTACTATTTAATTTCAATAGAAAACACTTATAAAATTACCCCCTTAACTTAAAATTACCATCACTCAGATCTCAAGTGCACTCAGCCAGCCAGAAGTACAAATCACATGCACTATGATACAGACATTTGTTGCAAGAGCACATCCTTGGAATTTTTTCCTTGGAAACCCAAAAGATAGCTTGCACCTAGTAACGAGAGCACTTACAGAAGGAGCAGGGCCGCTGATCGCATGGCCCTTGGCTCATTTGTCCCAGAATTTGAAAGCTGAGGAAAAAATTACAGAAGGGAACTAGAGAAAAGTCTTGCTGTCTAAGTAGTTGAACGTCATACTGGAGAATTTGATTCTATTCCTACGTTTCTTATCGTCTCTGTGAAACTTTATAAGCCACTTAAACTATTATCTTCACATACAGCCACAAATTGAATGTTCATCATTTTCCACAGAACCAATAAGAGAGATCTCTGAAGTGCTATCTAATACTCTCAACAGAAATCAAAGCTCATAATTCTATGCTCTGACCATATTCAGTATGGTAAAAGAGAAAAAAAAATTGAGGTAAATAATTAGGCATTACAAAATGAACATTATCATGTGGTTTTTGACAACAATTCACTTCTTCATTCTCTATCGATAAAACAGTTCTTGCACCTTTGAGCCCTGGCTTGAATAATTCAACGTATACTAGTGCTGTGCACTAGATGCATCAATTATTTTCTTCCTTTTTTTCTTTTAAATTTAGCTACAAGAGGACAGTGGCCCATGTTTCAACTCCAGGCATTTGTCAAGGACATAAAGGTCAGCACACCAAAAACATCAGTTTTGTTTCTTTCAGTCTCAAGTCAGGCTTCTAGCGTGCACAAAGGACAATTCTGTCCCTGTACTGCAGGTTTGGGAATACTGCCAAAATCTTAATAGACCGTACTTAATACAACGACCTTCATATTCTTTGAAATTGTTGTAATTGTAATCACTGCAATAAGCAGCCTACATGGAAACAGAAAGGAAGATGAACAGAATTTGATTTTATGACACACTTTCATACTGAAATGTTTTTACAACATAAATAGATACCAGAGGCATAGAACTTCTATGCACAAAGAGAAAGCTACTCTGCTTGAGAATACTTCACACGCATTCTTGGAGGAATGGAAATTTTAGCCAGTAAACTGGAATTCTCTCTCATTCTTTTCCACAAAATGCCAAGAAGTCTTTCATGTGCTCTTGGTCAGGCTCCAGAGAGAGATAAAAAGGACTTAAAGTCTCTCAGCAAGGAGCAACAGATGATTTTTGGCTCACTAACCATAAGCTCGAGTTTGACTATGTGGATTTGAATTTACGCTTAGATTTCTAACATGACAGCTAATCACTACTGATTGTAAAGCTCTAGCTTCAGCAATGGGCTAGTGTTGTCCACAAAGCAGAGACTGCAGTAGCAATATCAGTATGCAGATTTTAGGTACTGTCACAGGCTTTCTCCAATCACTGAAGGCAAGCACAGATGTGAGAGGGGAGAAGGGAACTGAGAGGAAGAAAGAGAAAGAAAGGGAGAAAAAAAATCATTTCCAATCACATGAGTTTCTGGGCAGGAGCAATCCTTAAGGCATGCTGGGAGCCCATCGCAAATCAGCCCTTTCTCGAATCTAGAGTTTATGGTCATTTCGATCATGCCATGCTTGTATATGGCATTCACGTACAATGGTGTGGATAATTTGTCTCCAGCATCACTACTCAGAAATAAAAATTCACCTGGATTAAGTACAGTTGTATTAGCTGGCATGGGATTTTAAGTACAGCAGTTCTCACTGGAATATCTTAACGTGGTTGGCTGGATGTCTAGATCACCAGAAATAGTTAATAATTAACCTCGATAATGTTACACTAGACAGTGTCTGCTCTTATGTGCTGATGAAATAAATTCAAACAATGCAAAGGTGATGAATAGGATAGGAAAAACATTTCTTGATCTAAGTAAGACTTTAAATCCATCATCTAAGATGATCTTTTCTGTTTCTTTCTTTCTTTATATGCATATATATATTCACATATATACACATACATATACACATACATATATATATACATATACATATGTATGTGTATATATGTGCAGCTATGTGCACACACACACAAAGATTACTACACTGGCAGATCCACTAAAGGAAGAAAAGTATAAAAATAATGAGATTTCAAGAAAAGACCACAGAAATAAAGAAAACCAGACCTTACCACCAGCTGTCTAAGAGGACACATTGCCAAGCGTGATCTCTAAGGTAGACACTGAAGTAGAGGTAAGATTTGTACTAGAAAATAAACTGAGATTTTTGAAGGACAGTGAAAAGAAAGAGTTAAATTACGCTTACAAGACTTGCAGATTTTAATTTGGACAGAAGCCATCCTAAAAACATTACATTTGCCAATCATTACTACATTGTGACATCATGTGTCAGTGCAAAGTTATTGCTGGCAAATGCTGACTTTTCCATGACGACTGCTGCATCCTCCTGAAAGGTAAAGACCATCTTTCACGAACAAAAGCTGGTAAGTCACATATTGATAATCAAATCTATCCTGAACCGGATGAGAGATTGCTTCCTTCAAAACACTTTTCACCTTCAAATAAAAACTTTTTAAGATCAGTGAAAAATGTCAAATTAGAACACAAAGAGCACGCACAAAAATCTAACAAGGAAAGTTAAAGCGCGCACACAAGCCACTGAGCCTTCCAGTTCTGCTTTTCTGTAACGAGATTAACACAGCTCCTGTGGCTGCCATCTCCAATCATCACTTAGATTATCAACTGGACTACAGCCAAGGCTCTAATTGCTACACAGAAGCAAAGTCACTATTACAATAAGTTTATTTAATTCCGTCTGACAGCTTACAAGCTTTTCCCCATGCAGCATTGGTTCTTATAGACAACTTTTTAGTCCTGTTACCTGTAACCATTTCTTTTCTTGAAAAAGCTGGTTTCGTTTTGTGGCCGAAACCTGAATCCTCTCCTGGTAGGTAGATCTCAAAAGTTTAAGTTCATTTTCTTGCCAGAGCTGGGTTTCTTCATTTTTAACCCTTAGAAAAGTGACAAAAACTAAAAATTAGTGTTATCACGGGGTACCTGCTTCTCAGAGATTAAAGAGAAAAGAATGCTATATGTTACCTTCAGAGTCATAACAGTCCCTCATCAGAGTAACAATCACATCTTAAATAGATGCACAGCTAGAGAACAAGAGATTTTCCTTGGCATATCTTCCTTTATTATATCAAACATTTACACTGTTTTTACAACATGCTCAAGAAAGAAAAAGGAAAACTTGTATAGCTTCAGGCTTCCCCCAGCTACTTCATTTTTCAGAAATTTATCCATCACTGCCTTGAAAGAAGCAAAACTAAGATGTGTAATTTCTATCAATATAGAGAAAAATCTCTTTTAGACAGAAGTTTAGAAACTTGCCAAAGCCCTTTTTGCAGCTTCTGTCAGTTTTTGAAGCCCACACTAGAGATCATCTGGAGTGTTTGCTCCATGGTGCCAAATTTTACTTCACTTTTGCACAGTGAGTTCTTTTAAAATCACATCTCACAGTGGTCGGTAAAGCCCTCAGCTGTAAATCTTTACATGATTTGATCCCAAGGTAATCAGTGCATTACATTAAGTGTCAAGTTTCTAATCAACCTCTCAAAATCCACCTGCAAACGATGCAAATCTATTTTCTCATGCATATTCCTGCACGAGGGCCTGCGCAACTGCACGGACAATTGCATTTCTGAATCCGTATCTACAGGCACATACACGTATTTCCACACAAAGGGTAGAGATGCATTTCAATACCTTGTTAAAAACATTGTCTCAAAGGAAGGACGTTTTTGAAGTACGATTTCCCGTCGCAGTCTTGCAAAATAAACACATTCATGCCACACACAAAACATGCATCACAAGTCTGGTTTACCATGATTAACCACACAATTATGATCTCCACGCACAGATGTTTATCAAGTGCGTAGACCAAAAGATTCATGTCTTTTCTGCAGGACACATGCATATTTTACTTCCTCTCTACGGATTGAAGAGCACGCGAAAAAAAATAGCAACAAAAAAAAAACCCTCGTTCTAACATAAACAGCATTAATACTTAAACAAAATGGATACGATGACCGTGTATCAGTATTTCTGCAATAACAAAATAGAACAAAGAGCCATCTGTGTGGGGGGTGCCAGGCCATCACTGTGCATGTGCCCTTACGACTCCAGCCAACTGCAATTCCCAGCAGCTCTGAAGCATTCTTCTGTTAGTAAGAGCTGCACCTTTTGGAGAGCTATGTGCAATAGAAATTTCTGACTGGCTGATGAAAAATTGAGGAACGTTTCATGAAAAACAAAGATTGTTCTCAGAACCTCCTTGGAAATCACATATACTGCCATCTACCTGGCAGTTAGGAAACAGACACAAGATCTCTGATCTCGCCAAACCCATGTGCCTATGCTAAACATTGCTTGTATCAGCTGCCCACAGCATCCCATGTTGACACTTAATGTGTCCACCTAAAATCTCTTGTCTCATATTTTAATAGTGCAAAACAAAAGCAGGACAAGAATTTGAGTCCTGTGTATTAAACAAATAACCCACCATACACGTTTTTCATTGAAGTTCTTCAGCGTTAAGGAGGACAGACTGGCCTGACTACAGCAAAATTACAATGTTGTAGTCTTCAGGGACTAGCCTGACTCATCTTTTTCATCTTCCAGGGGGAAAGAATGATCTTTGATATCTTGGTTTTGTTCTGATTCAGTATGAAACAAAGACAGAAATCTACAAGTTCTCCATGGAAGAAGCAGCTCTGCTTTCTATCCTGTCCTGCTTACAAATACTGCTGGCATAGAAACATTTTAAACACCTCCATCAAAGAGAAAGCGTATGCTCACTCCATCAACAAAAAGGTCAGACTGCAGACAAAGTGGTGTGAAACACTAATGAATCTAATAATCTAATCTAAACACTATGACTCTAATAATAAAACAAAAATGAATCTAATGAGGAAAAAAGAAGGGGTGACAGACACAACAACAACAATAGTCAAAGTCTAGCTCAAAGAGAGGAGTGCAGGCAAGGCAAAAAGGTGAAGAGTAAGAAGATAATCATCTGACCCTGAAGAATGGCACTGCTCTTAGACCTGTGCAAAGAAAAGAATTACAGATACAATCATCAGAGGAACAGGAACAGTGTCATTATAAATAAATAAATATTTCAAGCAGCCTGCATATTTTAAGGATGCTCAGTGAATCATTTTCTACGACATTAAAGCAAATACTGCTTCTAAAGCCAAAAACATTATTACAAATTAACGCATAAAGGGAACACATCTTAATGTCAAAACACACAACATTGTATCCTAATCTTTATGGAACCGTAAAACAGCTTCTTAAGGGATCAGAAGGTAGAAGGAAATAGTGCTGAGGGAACGCAGTCAGTTTTAAATACGTCTCATTACTAAATACAATAAATAGAGGCTAAAAAAGGCTTAAAAAAATTAGTCGATAACCTCTCAATAAAATCGATAAAGTTATCTCTATGGATTTTATCTACTTTTCACATACATAAAAAATACACCCAAATTTACTGACTAGCATACTGCAGACTTTATAAATGCTGGCTGCCAGAAAACAAAAGGGGTTTTTTTTGTTTTATTTTTCATTTGTGCTATAGCATTTGAGAAGAACTTCCAATACTTAGGTAGAACCTTATTATTTTTAACAAATTTAACCAGTAGCGTAGCTGAAGAAAGACCCAGAAATACAGATGACTTTCTTCCTAAGCTAACTACCTCCCTTGGGTCATCCAATGAATCTCACGTTCCCTCCGCCTTTGTAGTTGTTATCCCTTCAAGGAAACACTGAGATGTTTTGTGACTTTGTACAGTGCTGAGCACATTACTGCCACTTAACAAATGATGCATAAAAGGAGGCTCCCAAAGGTCTATGCATCTCAGAGAAGAATCTGTTTTTACTTGATATTTAAATGTCCATCCATTGCCTGAAAATGAGCATCAGAATTAACTCCATGGGGAACCACTGCTCAGGCTGCCCTGCTGTCGTATATCTAAACTGCTATGTCAGGATTCAATCCCATTCTCACTCAACATCAGTGAGAAAAGATGCATTTAGTTCACCAGTTTATCACGACCAGTCTTTTTTAGGGCAATTCCAAAAGGGTTGTAGGAAAAAAAACCAAAGATTAGATAAACTTTCCTAAGCATGCTCCATGTCTACATGCTAGAAAGTCGTTAAAATTCTGTATTTTTCATAAATTAAAATCTAAGTTTTTCTTTAACTGTATTCATCATTTCAAGAAAAATAGAAGTGCCATTTTGTACAATAAGGAACTAACAAACTTACCGATCTGTGGCCCAGTGCAATGCTGCTTGAACTTGGGTAACAAATCTGTCCAAAAAACTGCTAATTGAAGGATGTCTTGAAGGAAGTTGAAATTTTAAAGAATTTTTCTCTTTCTCCAGCTCTTCCAGTTTTCGTCTAAATTTATCAGCTAAACATTAAATTACAAAAAAGTTGATGTTACTTAACAGTGACAAAAAACATTCTATTTTTCCTGAATAGGAAAAAAGACTGATCAACAAAAAGTAAAATCCACCTCACAGACAGTGCTTTCCCTTTTGAGAAAATATTTCAGTCTACTTTCCTCTAGGTTGAATTACTAAGACTACAATGGATAACATCAGATAGCCAGAATGCTGTACTACTTTATTCTGTGATAATGACAGAACAGCAGGCTTCCCACCACTTTCACAGAGTTTTAATTTGGT